GTGTGTGTGTGTCTCAGATTTCTCTCTCTGGGTGTGGGTCTGGGTGTCGAAAGCTCCTCTTCCTTGTTTTGATTGGCCACAGGGAGCAGCGCAGACTCTCAGGCTCGGACTCCTCTGGAACATGTCCTCCTGGGACACGGAGGATAGATGGAGACGAGTGAAGGGCTTTAGAAGATGATGAGGGCCGACCTTCTCTGAGCCACGGTACATGTGTTACATTAGGAAAATCCCACGGTGCTCCACCAAACCAAATTGGGCCTATTTAGCTGAACGCAACGCTGAAGCGCTCACAGGAGTTGAAGAAAGATGCATAGATGTATAAACAGTAGTGTCATGTGAGAAGCTTCGTTTCTTTTTTCTTGTCTCTCACGTTTTCCTGGTTTTCCTCATCTGAGGAAAAAACAGATTTCTGGACTGTCTCCGAATGAACGCCCTCTGCTGGTGAATACATTTATGATGGCAGCGATTAATTGCAGGACGGACAGACAGTCTCCACCAAAACTAAAGGTTAACACAAAGCGTCGATTCGGTAGACACCAGTTTCAGAGACATCTATTTGTCCACCTGTCCACAGGTACATCCTTGGACTTTACGTTTCAAGCATTTCCCTCAGAGTCCAAACCAGTCTGTGCTCTGTTTGATCCAGACTAAACTTTCATTCAAATCCAAGTGAAAATGGTGCCACAAATGATTTTTTCTTTTCTTTTTTTTTGTACGTCAAAAGCCTGAGAAAAGTCTCAAAAGAAACAACAGGGAGAAAGTTCAACGTCCTCCTCAGGGTTTTCAGCGAGTGTGTCCTCTGGGAATAAAGCCTCCTCTGTTGGAGCGTCACGGTGACATTGACAGGAGTCAACGGAGCGTTTCATCAAGGACGAAGGCTGTCTGGACCAGGATCAGGACTCAGGAGGAGGAGTCCAATCATCGTCCAACTTGTGAAGAAGTTCCACACAGGAGACTCCGGGTTCTCTGTGTTCTATGGTAGATCTCAGTGTCCACTAGAAAACCCCTCAAAAACATTGGTCTCCGAGTTGATTCTCCAGGATTGTCCAGGTTGAAAGTCCACATAGAGACATTCAGGACTATCGGGATCTCTCGTAGACACTGCTGACTTACTGTAGAGATGAGTTCCGTGTCTGTAGGTGATGAAGATGATGATGATGATGGCGTCCATTCAGAGACAATTTGAACTGTGGGTGATAATCATTCCATTCAGAAACAATTTGAACTGTGGGTGATAATCATTACATTCATGTGTCCACATAGAGACAGTATTGAATATCGGAATGGAGACTATTTTAACCCAACATAAAAATTCTCTATTTGGGAGTCCACTAAGAGACAATCCTGTCTCCTAATATGGGCATGAGAAGTAAATGTGTCCACTCACAGGTATCCACTTAGAGAGCAGGTCTTCTAGTCTAAGTGTTGACAAAGAGGCTGCAAGTCCAGAAAGGGACACATTTGTGGACATTGACACGTCAGACTTACTGGTGGCCATACTGTCCCACGGGGATCTACATATGGTTCGCAGAACTCCAAGGACTACAGGCAGAGACAATATTGATTCCCATGTGTCCATTTTGGACACAGAGCTATATCTATTTTGACTTCTACCAGAACATGGTTTTTCTTGCCTATGTTCCTGGTGCTGCTGCGCTGTTTGTGCAGCGGGGTTGCGTCACGGCCGTTAGCGAACCTGCACCTCATTAAAGGGGTTTTCATCTGCAGAGGGACGTCTTTGGTACTTTCAAACAGGAAGCTCAGCCTGGTGCATTTAACAGTGTCTCACAGCGAGCTCCGCTGGGGAAAGGCCGCAGATTCTTTCTAATTCCCACAGTAAACCGTAGCTCCTACACTGGGCGTCTTTGTGTGGGACTGATTTCTGAAGCTGTAACCAGTTTCCTGTCAGAAGTGCTCTTCAAGAAAAGCCTCTCACAACTGTATGGAAAAAAGTTTTAACAGAGTTCTAGCGGCTGTATATTAGAATTTAATTAACCATCAGAATCATCGTTTCTCTGCTGTTTGCCTTGGACCGGGACGCAGCGTCTGTAATGATTTTACACATTTATGACGGTGACTCACTCAGAAGAATGTTTTCCATCACTGAGTGAGGTCTGACTCTCCTGCTGCTGCTGCTGGAGCTGCTGCTGCCACCCACAGCTACATCTTCTCCAACGAGTCCCCGCCCTTTAACCTCTGATCTACCTTTTGTTCCCAGCGTGGCACTGAGTAATGAGCTAGCATAATGCTATAATGAGCTCCTCTCATCCCAGTGAAAACAGCAGGTAAAACAGTGTTTTATTTAATAAACCTCATGTTCACGCAACTTTGAAGGAAGAATTTGGGGTTTTCTGACTTTTAGAAAAAGTCTAGGTACATAAACGCGACACCGCTTTGAAGTGTTTGTGTTCAGTGTTAGCTGAAGTTGAAGCCTCCTCTCGTTAGATCTGTCTTTACTATAAAATCTATAGATTAAAATGTCAACCTCTGAGGCCTGATCTCATAACAGGGATAACGAACAATGTAGAGTGCCTTTTTGTGGGTCCCTCATATGATCACATTTCGTAGACACGACTGTCTTTTAAGATAAACATTACGGTTTTTTCTACTGTAGCGTTTGGTTTTTAGTTATATTGAGTTGCCACAAGGTGTCTCTATTTGTGTGATAATAGACAGCCTTATTTCGACAGGGAGAGAACCGAAGACGTGTGCGTACGTCTATGGATGAAGTGTCCTCCAACTGAAGCTATAAAGCTCCCTGTTCCTTTGACAACACTGCCACCGTGTGGGCAGTTGAAAAGGTTTCCAGAAACTCGGTAGCAACAAGAATCACCAAGACGTCAGGTGAACCTTGGTGTCAGGACTGAAGCCCAGAGGAAACATTGAGTTTCGTAAAGTGAGGTAGTTTTGTAATTATTGTTAATTTCTCTGATCGCTCTTTATTAAAACTCAAATCCCCATGATCAAAAACTAGAAAGGAAAGGAGAAATCCATGGACACCTACTCAAAAGTGAATGATTGAACTTTTCTCGGAAAAGTGGTTTCTAATACACAGACAGTGTCATTACCATGATCAAAAACTAAAGCAGACAGGAGAAATCCATGAACACCTACTCGAAAGTTAATGATTCAACTTTTCTCGGAAAAATGGTTTCTAATACACAGACAGTGTCATTTTGTCAGCAGTAAATTAAAGGCACTAGAGCAGGGACTCGTTTGGAACAGAATCTTTATTTTTTTCCACACACACTGTACAACCAGCTTTAGAAGAAAGTGTTGGGTCTCTTCGTGGTGAAGCGTGGTTTGTGCTGGCGACGCAGGACCCGGTGGGGCAGGGGGAACTTGATCTTGGAGTCCTGGCAAAGAAGACAAAGGAAATTATGTCAGAGAAATAAACACAAACTCTGCATGAACTGTCAAATTCAGTTGGGATTTGATGTTGCCAGTTTCAAAACCGCCAGATTTAAAGACTTAGGCTGTAAATCTGGAAGAGGAATCTGGCTTCGTCTGATTTTGGCGAGGTTTTTAAACTGGAGCTGACAAAGTGTTGAGGCATTCCAGAGAGAGACTCGCCGCCATGACAATAAAACAGTAAAACAGGGAAATGGACAATTCTCACAGCTACCACATGTCCTCACCTGCACTTCCAGGTACTATTATGGTGTTAATTTGTAAACATCAAAATAACATCTACATCAGTTGCTCTATTTTAGATGCTAATACTTGTCAAAGATGGAGTTTTAAATCAAGTGAGAACCCATTTCATTCTTTGTCCATTTCCTTGTTGTAAAGGGTAAAAGAGACTTACGTGGAACTGCTTGATGGCCGGTCTGCGGCACTTGTTGGCAGCGATAACCTGCACCTTCATGATCTGGATGGAGTGGGCGCGAGCACGATGGCGAGCTCCCATATCACGGTCTGGAGACAAAGTGAGATTTTTATTATTTCAATGCATTTTTGGTTTGAAGATGACAAGTCCAGGCACCCAAACGTCCTGAACGCAAGTTCTACCACATGGTGACAGAGTCAATGTCTACATATGGAAGCTCCAACTTCACACACTGCAATTTCTCAGGAAATTTCTAAAGTTCTAAATTAAATTTTTGTCCTTTGAATTTTATATTTAAAAAATCCCTTAATGTAACAACAGCAAGAAGAATATTGAGGCAGCATAAACAAACAAACAAGGTTGCAACAAAATATGTGGACAAAAATGACAAGACATTTCTTTGAGTTAAGAAGACTTAACCACTGTAAAATGTATGAATACACAATCAATATTAAATAGACCATGAACTGACAATGAGTCACATAAACAATGAGGTTCTGGCTCATTATTTAGAGATGTGCACATGGTCTGGTTGGGACGTTACCCAATCTGGTCTGATTTGTCCTGGTTTTAAATAAGTTGGGACGTTAACCAATCTGGTCTGCTTTGTCCTGGTTTTAAATAAATTAATATACAGTGATACTTAAACTCTACATGTATATTTGAGCTTCTTTGAGTGTTCTCACTCACAGCACTGAGTGACAGCTCCAGATGTGGTCAGGTCTCTGTACTCTCTGTACATGTTGTGGGTTCCACTACGAGAGTCGTAACGCAGCCAGATTCCAAAGTTCTTCACCTTCAGAGGAGTTTTCTCGTGAACCTGCAACAGAACCACAAACAAAGAGTCAATGAGTGCCACACATTAATCTACTGTCCAACATCACAAGTTGTCACAGAGCTTTGATGACGTACCAGACCACAGTATACAGTCTCTCCTGAAGCCTTCTTCATCTTCCTCAGCTGTGAGACGAAGTACCAGAAACGAGACTTAGCCACAACATGGTTGGGGGCAAAAATCCTCATACGATACAGAGGAGGGGTAGGGTTCTTGGCAGAGGGCAGCAGACGCCCAATGACTTTATATTCCCGAAGCTGCAACAAGGAAACGTAGAGGTGGTCAGACAAATCTTTTGATATTGAAGTAGTATTAACAACTTTTCTGGCTTTTCATGTTTGTTGAACCTTGGATTCACTTTCAAAGGCACAGCAGCATCAGAGAAAGGCGACAAGGATCATTTACTCTCTGCACCCCAAAAAAGATCACACCACTGAGAAAGGCATGAGCTTGGGTTATGGGTGCAAAAACACACAAACAACAAGAATAATGGAAATATAAGAGATGGTACCGATTACTTCTCTGACTAACTAAAAGACTACATTCACCCTGGTTAAGTAAATTTAACTAAACTTTAATTATTAAGACATGTATGTGTAACGGGGAAAAGGGAGCAAAACTTTTGTACTAGAGGGACCTAGTAAGTGCCAAATGATTGAAATAGAACTGGTTTAATTAAATTAAATTAAATTGATAGGTGCAGACCCATTCTATTCTTCAAATGAATACATTTTAATTACTTAAAATTGTAAAAAAGCTAACAGGGCTAACTGAAAATACTTAAGCTGCCAGTTTAATAAGCTTCAAGACGATTAAGATGTTCATAACCTAATGTTTGACATTATTTAGAACCATTTAGTAAAAATTGCAGCTAAATCCACCACAATAGCTGCTAATGCTACATAGTCATACAGCCATACTCATGTTTGACGGCATAGAAAATGTCGGCTAAGTCTCTGTCAGAGTAAACTTGCCATTTACATACACGAACATTTAACTTTCTTACATTAAATAAAAATTTCAATGCAATATGTTTAACACGCTAGCAGACTTTCCACCGTGTCCACATGGTACCGCAGCCGCCATGTTGTTGCGGCCGCCGCAACGGAGAAGTAAATATGATAAATAAGGCATTTGACCCATTATCTTAGCGTTTTGCGCGTTTTACTCGAGAAAATATGTCGTTATCTTAGTTATTTTAGTCGTTCCAGTCGAGTGCAACGCGTTTTTACAGTTAAATAGACGTTTTTACGTACTGTGCCGGACGCCTTCATGGTGCCACTCGCTCACTGCCACAGTAAAAGAGGAAGCAGTAGGGCGGAGACTGCGCATGTGAAGAGCGCAGAGGGCGGGCTCAAGCGCTAGGCAAGTTAAAGGAAGTTTCGCCTTTTAACCCCGCCTCGCAGGATTTTTTCTTGAATAAAGTTTAGATTGCGTACACATTTTAAAAACAAATGTACCTAAATAATTCAAAACAGTTGAACTAAAAATATGGCAGATGTACAATCCCCAACGGTCGAAACAAATACAATTACATAAAAAATGTATTTCCTGTGGCTAGACATAAAATAACATTAAGAGGCATTTTTTAAAATTACTACAAAAGTCAGGTCACCGCTTGAGATGAACTTGTAATTATGGATATTTTCCCTTCATTTTAATTTCACCCTAGAAACAATATATTGTGTGACATGACGGAAAATATGTGGTTAGTTGTTTCAAAGTAATTTCCCCGAATTGTGCAGTTATTATCTTCAATATTATAGCGTAATCAAAAAAATTCTTGAGGAAAGTTATCTTATAGTTCTTCATATAGTAGTTAATGAAGACCATTCAGATCTGCCCGGCTTTTGCGTACTTGAGGATAGTTATCTTATATTTCTTCATATAGTAGTAGAAGTCCATTCAGATCTGCCCGGCTTTTGCGTAAGGATTTACTTCCGGTGTCTGTGACCCGGATGAGTCGGCGCGGACACGCTGCACAGACGCTTGTGTCGTGTGAGCAGAGGCAGAGAAGCCGACGTGCCACTGATTCTGGAGGCTTCGGTGAAATGAGTTGAAGAAGGAAAAGAAGCACAAGAAGAGAGACTTTTTTATTTCGTTTCCACTAATGGTACGTTTAAAAATTAAATAAGTAAATATTGGTCTGTTTCCCCCCATTGTGCCACACACGTGAACAAATGCAGGTTGTACTGATGAAGATTCCTCTCCACCGAGCTGCAGCAGCCGTCACCGAACTCCGTTAAAGTTCGTTAATGTAACGCCCACAACTGCCAATTTAATTTGACCGAGCTTCCGTCATATTGTCCACGGTGCTGTCACTTATCCGCAGCCGTTCAGAGACTGCTTTTATCGGTTGTTATCGGGTATCACCGTCCACCTAACTCGCCACGGCTGACATAGGCTAGCTATAGTTAGCGTCAGTTTGTATAGAAGTGAATGTGTTAGCACGGTTAGCACTTTAGCAACGCGGTGTCAACTTTTAGAGGAGTGGCCCCAGTGAAGCGAACGTTAATTATGGACACTTCTGAGACTGTTTACAGTCCTATGTGTCCGACTGAGCTGCGTCATGTTTGTCCCCAACATTGTGAAAATACCAAAGGCAGGTTTAAAGGAGTTGACTGCGTGTTGCATCAGGTTGACAGGGCTGTTCACCCTCCATCCCACAATAATGCTGACCAAGAGGTTTAAGGTGCTAATACTAAACTCACTGCCAACATAGAATATCTGATCAGTCAGTCCATGATAAAGCAATCACACAGGTGAGTGTTCCTCCTTCTGTCATTCTAGTGACGATTAACGTCATTTTCTGTTATTTTGTGGACAATGAATGATTTAATTATTTATTATTTTATTTTACACCAATTTAACAAATTAGACCATAAACAATGACTTCGATGTGATTTCAGTTGTTTAGAGGCAGCAACTATTATTCTAAGATTATTATAGTAATGATACATAGTAAGAGTTTATAGACTTTTAGCGACACAGGTGATATGCTTAGAAAAACATGTTAAAAAAATTAGAACAGCGTCAATGTTAGTTACAGGTGTGCGTCTATGAACAGGGATATTTGAGAGATGTCTTTTTCAAATAATTCAATTTGTATTTAGGTCATGTTTAGGTTTTTTTTAGGAAAAACAAATCCCAGAATGTCTCTTATCATATGAGACATTCAGGTTTTTTTGGACATTATTAACAATTTTCAGTCTTGAATGATGGTTAGGAATGTGTCAAACGATGAGTGTTGTGCAAAATACACTTTAGCATTTATAAACTTTGATTAAAATGTTTTAAACTCTCCTATTTGCTTTGGATGTTCAAAGCACTCAGGAACTTTGATAAAATGTATTAAACTCTCCTGTTTGCTTTGGATGTTCAAAGCACTCAGGAGACATTTTTCAATGTTTCTAGGTGTAAGGCTTATTACTGGGGACACTCACAGTTAATCTTTCTGTTCATTGTCTGTCTTCATGTATATAAATGGTTCCTTAAAAATCTAGGAAGAAATAATCAAAAGAAAAGAGCAGACAGTGTTTCCAAAAATATGGCAAATGTGATATAATTGATGGAGACATTAGAGACAGACATTTGTCTGATTGTTATTGCTTTTGTTCGTCCTGATGGTCTGTGTCATGTTTGGTGTAAGATTCATTCATGACACATACAGGTTTTAAGTGTTGGCACTGTGTTGCATCATGTGGACGGAGCTGTTGTTGACGCAGTTATCTCTGCTTTTTAGATTCAGTCAGCTGATGGACGGACGACATGTCTCCTCTGTAGTGACACATTAATCACGTCAATCTCTTTTAGGAAACAGAGGGAAACATCGTTGCAGATAGTAGTCATTAAAGAGATTTGCTGCACACTTGTTGGCACATTGTTAGCATGTAATATCATATCAAAAATACAACAATAAATTTACAAAAGAAATATTTAAAAGCATGGATCACAGACAGCAGACAGTCCCTCTGTAAAAACAAATGTTAAAGATGAAAGGAAGATGTCAGATTCCTCTCATTTATATTCCAGTCATTTAGTTGTTAGCATATAATATCATAGTATCAAAAATACAACAATAAATTTACAAAAGAAATATTTAAAAGCATGGATCACAGACAGCAGACAGTCCCTCTGTAAAAACAAATGTTAAAGATGAAAGGAAGATGTCAGATTCCTCTCATTTATATTCCAGTCATTTATACCAGCGATAGATGATTTTATATGCCTTGCTAGTGAAACCAGTGGTTGTTCCCCGATGATGCAATGTTTTAATAAATTTGTTTGACACTTTTTTTTTTTAATTTTTTTTTTTAAACAACTGGTTATTCTTTTCTTTCTCTCCTCAGATGAGAGAAACCTGCCTGACGGCAGCCAAGTTGACTGAACACACCCTGGAGCAGAGCTAACCCACACATGGCCTGCCAGTCTGTCACTGCAGTCATGGACGAGCAGGCCCTGCTGGGGCTCAACCCAAATGCCGATGCCCGTTACAGGCAGAGGGTAAGATGCCCACCTACCTTATACAGAAAGTACAGTTTGTGTCGCTTTGAAAAGCAGGAGAATGATAAGCTCTCATCACTTCTGTCATAAGTTTCATTAAGAAATTACTTCAGTAATACAAACTGACCACATGAGGCAGCATTTTACCTTTCTCTCCTGTGTCAGCACAAGCGATGAGAGGCTGATTTTCTCAGGGCACATTCTTGATTTATTATTCATCTGCTCCCACCTTTCCCCAGGCGGTGGCGTACTTTGAGCAGCTAAAGGAGTCTCAGGATGCTTGGGAGGTTTGTGCCGAGGCCCTGGCCAAAGGGATTTACAAGTGAGTCCACAAATCCTAACACTGCTATTGTTTCAAGGCGAGACAGTTGTCTTGACACTCAACCTGACGTTGTCATTGCAGTGACGACCACGTGAAGTTCTTCTGCTTCCAGGTGCTGGAACATCAGATCAAGTTCAGGTAGAGAAGAGGTTTTGCTTTGTGTTTCTTATGCTTTTGTGAACAGTAGGGTTGTTTTGAACTCATTGTTTTTGTTTTTTCCCTTTTGTTTCAGGCATGCTGGTCTGAGTGCAGCTCAGCAGCAGCTGATCAGAGAGACGCTGATGAAGTGGCTTCAGTGTCAGGTGACCCTCATTGTTATTGAACCTGTTTGATTTAGCAATCATCTGAACTACAGATATCGGCCCGATGTTAGCATAATATTTAATATCTGTAAGAATCTTTATCGATTGTTCCTCCGATAATGAAAACCCTATAACGCAATGCTGGGGTTTTACCAAATGTGCGGGAATCATTTGTAGGGCCCAGACACGTTTACCTTAGTTTTTGGGGCCAAACATATGCATTTATCAACATTGGTTGATTTCACAATCGGAAATTAAGTGTTTGGAAAATATGGGGGCCAAACATCTGCATTTATCAATACCGGTTGATTTCACAATCAGAAATGAAGTGTTTGGAAAATATCGGATAGCAGCAAAAAGTTGATTTTGGACGTCCCTAATCTGAACACTTCTCTGTTTTGTGCCAAAACAGCTGATGAATGTCCAGCCGGAGAAGCCCTTCATCAAGAACAAAGCAGCTCAAGTGTTTGCACTCACCTTCGTCATGGAGTACCTGACTCTTTGGCCCAAGTTCTTCTTCGACATCCTGTCTCTGGTTGGTCTCAACCCACACGGCATTGACATTTACCTCAGGACACTGATGGCCATCGACGGCGAGGTGGTGGACAGAGACATCATGCATTCACCTGAGGTGAGAGAGGTGACCTCTTTAACCAGGTGGTAAACTGAGTCACCCACATTCAGCCTTTTCTTAATGTTCTGGAGCAGATCATTTTTCTGCATGACATATTCAGTTTCTTTTTGGACAAATAAAAAAAAAAGACTTCTGTTGGTCATTTTACAGGAGACTCGAAGGAACACCCTGATCAAAGACTCCATGAGGGAGCAGTGCATCCCCAGCCTGGTGGAGTCCTGGTTCCAGATCCTGCAGACGTATCAGCAGTCCCACCCGGAACTCACCTGTCAGTGTTTGGAGGTGGTCGGAGCCTACGTGTCCTGGATCGACCTCAACCTTATTGCCAATGATCGGTAAGTCGCAGAGTTCTCCTCCTCCTCCTCACCCCAAGGGTGAAGCTGAAGGAGGAGTGAAGATCACAAGCCTTTGTTTCCCTGTCCCGCAGGTTTGTGAATCTTCTGCTCAGCCAAATGTCCGTGGACTCGCTCAGAGAGGAGGCCTGTGACTGCCTGTATGAAATCGTTAACAAAGGCATGGACCCGGTGGATAAAACCAAACTGGTGGAGTCTCTGTGTCAGGTGCTGCAGTCGGCAGGTTTCTTCAGCGTGGAGCAGGTCAGACCCAGAGATGTTTTGATGTAGTCACAGATGTTTCAAACACTTGAAGCGAGGCACAGACGGTAACGTCCCTTTAACTGTCCTCCTCTTGTTCTTTCAGGAGGACGACGTAGACTTCCTGGCCAAGTTTTCCCGCCTGGTGAACGGCATGGGCCAGAGTCTGGTGCTGAGCTGGACCAAACTCGCAAAAACTGGAAACGTGAAGGACGCTGCCGACGCACTTCAGGCGGTGGAGTCCAAAGTGCCGCTGCTGCTGAAACTGTTGGTGCATGAAGACGACGACATCTCGGCCAACATCGTGTGCTTCTGCTACGAATACCTGCACGTTCTCAAACAGGTGAGACAAACCATGAGAATCATCACTGAAGATCTGGGAAGGTCTTTAAGATTTTTGTCTGATTAATAGTTAATGTTTTGTTTTTTTAGCTCCCTCAGCTGACGGAACAACAGAAAACCAACATTGAGGTGAGAATCTGACTTTTAATAGCTAACATCACCTGATGAGTGAAGTTTAAAATAAATAGTCAGGACCTTACACCTGTCCTCTCTCTCTGCAGGCCATCATGCTTGCTGTCATGAAGAAGCTGACGTACGATGACGAGTACAATTTTGATAACGAGGTGAGTTGCACCGTCTCTGTCCAATTCTGTTTTTTTGGGGGGCTGGGGGGACGTGAACCGAGCCCTGACATCCTGTTCCTGTGCTCAGGGTGAAGACGAGGCCATGTTTGTGGAGTACAGGAAGCAACTGAAGATGTTGTTGGACCGTTTGGCTCAGGTTTCACCAGAGCTGCTGCTGGAGGCCGTGCGCCGCGTCTTTACCACCACCATGCAGTGAGTGACAGATTATTTACTGACGCGGATATTTTCTTATTCTGTCTTCCAGTTTTCAGAATTCAAAATATCATTTGTCATTCTCCAGATTAATTTCTGTTATATCTGATGTCAGTTGTCGTATCATATCGTACCAATTTCCTTTTTTCAGCAGATTCACTTTATTCACTCTTGTTTTCCAGAACCTGGCAGACGTCTCCGTTCATGGAGGTAGAAGTTGCCATCAGGCTTCTGTACATGCTGGGCGAGGCACTGCCTGCATCCCATGGCGCTCACTTCTCTGGAGACACAGCGAAGACGAGTGCCCTGCAGGACATGATGAGGATGGTGAGTCTCATCACTTCAATGTCAGGAGTCTGTGGTGTTATATTTTTATGGAGTTTTGTTTTTCATGTTTTGTGTTTTTGTTTTTTTTTAATGATTGAAACTTTAGCTGGTCTCCTGTGGCGTCAGCAGCTACCAGCACAGCTCCGTGTCTCTGGAGTTCTTTGAAACCGTTGTTCGATATGATAAATTCTTCATAGTTGAGCCTCAGCACATTCCTAACGTTCTGGTGAGAAAATACGACCTGCAATGTTCTCATTTTAAACTGACATGATGGTGAAATGTAACCAGAGATGTCATGGTGTTTTATGGACAGATGGCCTTTCTGGACCAGAGAGGACTGAGACACAACAGCCCAAAGGTCCGCAGCAGAGTGGCCTATCTCTTCTCCAGGTTCATCAAAACTCTGCAGTGAGTTTTACATTAACTTTGGTCACTACACATCACTGCAGAAGAAACATGTGAGAAAACCAGTGATTTTAAAGATGCAGAGATCCATAAAGGAGCTGATACACTACTGCCTCCTAGTGACTCTAAATAAAAAACTTTAAACACCTAAATCACAAAATAACAAATTAAAACTTGGTGATGGGGACAGTAGATCAGCTTCCCCTCTGTGGATAAATTGATGATTTTCTCTCTGAGGTTCAGTATGAGAGGGAATGATGGACGAACACCCTGATGGGAAAAAGATGAAAATATTTTGATATCAGTGGTTAAAGTAGTTTGTTCCTGGACAGTGACACTTCTGACGCTCTCTTCCAACAGCAAACACATGAACGCCTTCATTGAAGACATCCTGACCCGGATCCAGGACCTGCTGGAGTTGGCTCCTCCCGTAAGTGTCTTCACCTGAAACCGTTGTCGACTGTTGTCGCTGACAGTTCCGTGCCATGACTGTTTTCTCCCGTGTCCAGGAAAACGGTTTCCCCACGCTGCTGACCAGCGACGACCAGCTGTTCATGTTTGAGACAGCAGGTGTCCTCATTGTGAGCGGAGACATTGCAGCGGAGAGGAAGCAGGCATTGATGAGGAGCCTGCTAGCACCGCTGATGGACGCCTTCCGTCTGCTGCTCACCAAACTGCTGCACGAAACGGACGAGGAGAGGCAGGTGGTGTTGGCGGACTGCCTCAGTCATGCTGTCGGGTTCGCCAGGTGAGGGCAGTCTTGTGCAGAATTGGTCGGTAAACGTCAGTTTAGTACAGTACTCGTGATATAAAACTTTTGTCTGTGTCGGGCAGTCGGACCAGCAAAGCCTTTAGCAACAAGCAGACGGTGAAACAGTGTGGCTGCACCGAGGTCTACAGGGACTGTCTGCAGACCTTCCTGCCCGCACTGAGCTGTCCAGTCCAGCGGGGGCTGCTGCGGAGCTCGGTGCGCTCCTTCCTGCACCGTATGATCATCTGTCTGGAGGAGGAGGTGCTGCCCTTCGTCCCCGCGGCCTCGGAGCACATGCTGAAGGACTGTGAGGCCAAAGACCTGCAGGAATTCATCCCTCTGATCAGCCAAATCACCGCCAAGTTCAAGGTAACCTCTCCCATCCTTCACCGTCCTGAGAGAAGTTAAATCGTGATTTTCCGTTGGTTTGAGCAGACTTGTTTCCCTCCCCACTGCAGCAGCAGGTGTCGCCTTTCCTGCAGCAAGTCTTCATGCCTCTCGTTCTGGCCATCTTTGAGGTTCTCGCACGGCCAGCCGAGGACAACGACCAGGCAGCAGCTCTGGAGAAGCAGATGTTGAGGAGGAGCTACTTCAGCTTCATCCAAGTCATCACAGGCAGTGGGATGAATGAGGTGATGGCCAATCAGGGTGAGTTTGAAGAACTTTATGCTACGATCAGCGGTTTCAGGTTTTTGGTCTTTCTTTTCTACTCGACCTGTTTTTGATCACGTGATCTTTGCTGTGAATCCAGGGGCAGAAAACATCGAGAGGGTTGTCTTCACCATCATCCAAGGAGCCGTGGATTTTCCTGATCCAATCGCTCAGAAAACCTGCTTCATCATCCTGTCCAAACTGGTGGAGCTCTGGGGTGAGAACCCAACAAACCTCCAAACATCTGATTTAACATCACTCCTCTTCACTGTCGTTCTGACTGTGTTCTGATTGACAACTGTAGGAGGTAAAGATGGCATGGTGGGCTTCCCTGACTTCATCTACAAACACATCGTCCCCGCATGTTTCCTGGCTCCTATGAAGCCGACCTTTGATCTCTCTGATGCTCAGACAGTCCTGGTAAGCTACAGATGCAGCGTTCAAGCCTCAAAGTGTATTTTTTTTCTTCCTTTTTTTTTCTTCATCAGTCTTGACAAATGTTTGTTTTTCAGACTCTCTCAGAATGTGCCGTAACTCTAAAGATGATTCATCTCAAGCGGGTAAATACAAATTCAGCGAAATTTACATCTTGACTCTACGTTTTGAATTTTTTTTTCCTGTCTTCATGTTTTCTTATATTTTTTTTCAGGGTCCAGAATTTATTCAATTTTTACAGCAGGAGTATCTGCCCTCCCTCCAGATGTCACCAGACATCTCACAGGTAAAGACACAGTAGAATGAAGAAGTAAATTTGTTGCAGGTCATCAATATAAATCTGTCTGCAAAGATGTTTGTTTTAAAAGGTAAATCAGCATATCGTCTTCATAAAGTCTAATCGACGCTTTGCTTGTTTTGGTTTTTTTTTTGCATTTTTAAAGTTTGAACTTAATTTCTATGTTTGTGTGTGTGTGTGTTGGGGGGGGGGGGTTGACTGGTTTCATCAGATAAAGTAAAGGTGACTTTACAATAATTTTTAGAGAAAAAATTTGAGAACTCTCTCTGTTTTTTTTCCAACAGGAATTGTGTCAGGTGCTTCAGCAGCCCGATCTCAAAGTCCTGAAGAACTACATTAAGGTACGGTAGTACTCAGGGTGTTGTGGTAAGTGTTAGCTATCACTGTGACGGTTCTAATAACTTTCTCCTCACAGGCCTTTTTTCAGCAAGCCAAACTGTAGGACATACACGTGGGACATAAGTGACTCTTGAACAGGAAGTGCTGGGTTTGTCTACCTTACTACAAACATAAGAAAGGAACTCGGCGTAGGAACTGCTTTGCACTTACACCATGTAAACGCTCAATCAAAGCCCGGTTCTGTCTAAGTCGTACGATGGGGAAAGTGAACTGAAGGTCAGTGGACGGATCAGCACCCTCTAGCTGCAGATAGACGAGCTCTCCAAGAGGACAGGAGCTATGTTGGGACTCTGGTGGTTCTGGACACGTGGAGAACTTTGTAGAATCAAGAAGAAAGTTTTTTTTTTTTTTTTTGGAATCAAGAAGAAAGTTTTTTGGTTTTTTTTTTTCCTCTTTTTTTTCCGAAACACAGATGTGGGAGGAAACCAAGTGCTAGGAAGTGTGTGACCAGACCACACTCCTGGCTCTGGATTTATTTAATTAAAAATGGCTTCATACGTTTCAGTAGGAACCAGGTGTGAACACGTTTGGAAGCAGCGTGGATTAAAAAGGGCTGTGATGTACAAGTCAGATCCCGAATGTTGAACAAAAACATGAATTCAAGCCTTTTAGTTTACTTTGGGGTGAAGGTGCGTTCATCTTTTTAATTTTTTTTTTATTACATTAGATGTGGGGAGGATAGGGTGGTCCAGTGGTAGGATAAGCCTGCCATTTAGAAGGTTCGGGTTGGATTCCTAGTTCCCAAATCCCAGGTTGGGTCGTGTCAGGAAAGGGTGTAAAAAGGAAAATAAATCACTGTGGACTACTGCTGTGATGCCCTCTAGTGAAAGGAAAAGTCAATTACACAATGGACCGTACGGGAGCTGCTACAGGGGCCCTTAGTGGTGAGTGTGTCAAACTGAATTTCCTTATTTGGCCCTGGAATATTTTTTTTCTGTAAGGATGATTTAAGCTCTTAATTGTCGACAAAAATAAATTGGAGGAACAAAAGTGTAAATAAGAGAATAAGATGTTAAAATGTAAATAGAATAAGTTTAGTTTTTGAATGTTGATTTTCATCGGAATAGTGAAGCTTATTTCTGCAAAAAAAAACAAAAATGGGGAAATTAAATTGGAGGTTTTTTACAGAGTTAACAATTTGGAAAAGGTTTTATTTCTCATGGTTGCACTTTCCTGTTTGGATTTTTCTTTGTCTCTAAAAACTCTAAAAACCTTGTAAAACGAACTAATAAGAGCTTAGTTTTGAGTGTAACATTTTAATTTATATAATATTTTTGACTAGTGTTTTTTTTTTAAACTAGTGGCTGAATTTCAAATTTTACCTCATATCTTCTAACTAGTCAGATCTTTCTGTTACGTTTTCTTTTTTTTCAACATTGGATGTTCCTCCATTTGTTTGAATGTAAGCAGTTTTGGTTTTTTTTTAGGTTGAAGCGTTTTTTAAATTTTAGTTATGCTCCTGCAGAGCCCCATCAATTTTTTTCTGGGGGAGACTCGAACTCTTATGCTAACGTATGAATCTGCCTGTGAATTTGTGGCAAATTGATTATGCAAAGGCTCAAAACTGTGAAAAAGCAGAGAGAAAATCAATTGGTGTGAGATGATAAAAGTGTTAAAAAATGCTCAGTTTTGGTAAAATGTCAAACCCTGTCCCAACTTTTCATTTTCATTGTAAAAAAAATTTAGTTTTTTGTTTTTTCTTTTTAAGGAAGGCATCTGAATCAGATAATTTCCTATAAAATACACACACACACACACACACACAGTTGATCTGTTTCAAGTCTTATGGCACATTGATGCAAAAGTCAAGTTCATGTTTATCAAGAAAAAAAATCTTGATAAACATGAAGTCAGGGTGTGACTGTGAGTGGAGGTTAATGCGGTCAACATTTGAACTATTTGAACTAGACGGTTTAGACAGATTAGATCATCATAGTCAACTCATTTCATCATCTGTTCATTATTGCTACTTGTTCAAAATAAACAGCGGATCAAATAAAATGCATAAAGATGTCAATATTTGGTTCACAAAAAATGAAATTACAACAATGTAAAAAACAGACAATGCAATATTAACGTTTTTTTTAACGTTTTGGTGTGAAACAGCACCCCCTGTGTTTTGGGCCTGATTCTGCTCTTAATCGAGTGTTTGTACTCCTGTTCAAGCGTTTCCACTTTCATTATTTCTTTCAAAATCTGTTTCAATCTTGCTTTTGAGAAATCGTTGGATCATTGGATGTTTGTGACCATGTTAGTGATGATTTTCTGAAAAGCAGAACAAATGCCTACCTTTTATTTCTGAATAGTTGCCAAATGAATGGACTTGGTAAAATGCTGATTTATTCTTCTTTTTTCTTTGGATGTTGATGAATTTTTTGTTAAAAACCAATAAAGTGTTTACTCTACCAGAAAAATATGTTCATTTTTATTTTCTGTCCTTCAGGGTCACATTTTTGTCATCCATTCATTAGCTTTCCATTTTTATAGTAAACATAAGTGATGTAATGTTCGCAGTCTAAACACTTCCTTTAACATAATCCATCTGTTTTATTTAAATACCAACTTAATTCTGCTGTTTTTCAGCTTTCTTCAACTTAAATTCTCTTGTCTCTCCACAAACAAAAAAACCCGAAGCGCCAAACTGAGTCAGATCTTTTTCCTCGACTCGACTCCGTTCGCCTTTTCTCATTGCACTTTTTGCGGTCACTTGTCCTTGTGTCATGCAGGTTCAGCCTTTTATCACAGCGATGGGTCGCAGTTTTATCGCCTTCTTACTGATTCCTGCGTCGTGACACGTGTTCACGACGTCCGTCACGTTTTTGTACGATTCAGGAGCCTGGACACCAAACGGGGACATCAGAATAGTACACTGGACACCAGAAACGTTTTTATAATAAATCCGTTCTCACCTCTTCCATGACCAGTTTAGGTGAAGCCACTCTGATGGCGATGCCCATGTCGGCCAGTTTGTCCAGGACGTCCTGGAAGTCCAGGTTTCTGCGAGACTTGGCTCGAGAGAGAGCCCTACCCTGAAAGAAAAAAAGAAGAAAAACCAGTTACGTCTCTGTGACTTCACCTGTTTTTAAAAACGCTTCATTTGTGTCGAATCTCACTGCTCCGTGACAGGTGGTTCCGAAGGTTTCGGTCATTCCATGTTCCGTCCCTGTGAGGACGTAGCTGCATGTTCCCATCGTCCCTCCGATCAACACCGGCTGACCTGTCAGCTGTCATAAAAGAGTCAGAATCACTGTCAGTGCTGCGTCTCAGTGACAGGTCACATGGTCAGGGCGCCTCGTACCTGGTAGTCGACAGGAATGAGTGGATGGTGGGGCGGGAAGGCTCTGGTGGAGCCTTTGCGGTGAACCAGCAGTGTTTTCTGCTTCCCGTCCACGATGTGCTCCTCCACTTTGGCGATGTTGTGAGAGACGTCGTAGATGACGTGCATGTCCAGGTCGTCTGGTGTGGTGGTGAAGACTTCTGCGAAGGCCTGAAATGCGAAAGAGTCAGTAGTGATCGACATATCAATACTCACAAATATTGATTGGTTATCGATTACTCTTAAAGTACCAATACTAACAAATAACTGAAAAACCACACGTGTTACTGACTACTGACCAGAAGAGGGCAGTAACTCCATGTGATCAAGTCCACAAGAGCATTTGTTTCCCAAAGACTGGGTCGCAACCCTCAGGTGGGTCGCAAGAGGGTTTTTTTTGGGTCGTCTCGCATCATGTTTCCCAGGAGTTTACGAAGAATGTCTATTAAATTGGGTCACGAAGGTTTGTGACTTTTAAAATATGGGTCCCCAGAAAAAAAGTTTGGGAAACACTGCTCTAGACTTCTTCCTTTAATGGTATCAATTAAACAATTTACATTACATATGTAATAATGATAAACCCAATAATTATATTGGGTTAAATTTCTTTTTAAAGAAATTACACAAAGTATCGATATCGGTATTGAGAAACAAATTGCCAAAAAAAAAAGTAATCGGTATCGTAACAAATCACTCCTCCCCAGCCTTACGTAGAGGTCGGACATACCTGTCTAGTCAGAAAGGTCATGGACGAACGGTTCACCCAGGCGTAGTTTCCCGCCGCTGCCATCCCCTTCAGGTAGTCCTGACCTTCCTGTGAGGTGATGCGAGCGCACGCCAGCTGACGGTCGTTCACTGTGATCTTATCCCGTTTCATGGCCTTCTCCATGGCAACCAGAGCATCTATGAACACATCAACAAATGTCCTTGCTGCTTCCATTCTTTGTCCAAAGGTCTACGCCCTCCGTCACCTCTATCTTCATTACCTGTGGCAACCTGGTGACCAAGGCCTCGGCTGCCGCTGTGGATCATCACGCACACCTGACCTTTGTGGTCGATGCCCATCTTCTTGGCGGCGTAGTCGTTGTAGATCTCATCCACCACCTGGATCTCAGCGTAGTGGTTTCCTGCTCCCAGAGTTCCCAGCTTTTTCGACGCCAGAGACACAGAGCGTTAGCCGTTAGCTTCTCTTTGAGCTGCTCTACTTTCAGGCAGGTAGAGGTGAAGCTCTAGCTCACAAACCTGGGGGAGACCTCGCTTCTTGGCCTTGGACGACACCTTGTTGGGGTCGGCCTGCAGCATCCTGCCGTACTCCTCGCAATGCTCCTTGTCCTCAGCCCAGGCGTAGCCCTCCCTCAGGGACCAGTCCACACCCATCTCCAGCGCCTCCTCCAGGTCTCTGGGGACACAGGAGATTTATGGTCGGAAAACCTCAGTTTTACTGGACACTGCTGTGGCTTTCACACCGGTAGGGCTCTGTGCTGGTTCAAGTTTGGAAACCCGAAAAGTTGGTTCCCACGGCAACCAAGAAATACCTGGTTCTTCACTAAGGACTGTGACTTCATCAGTGGGTGTGTGTTTTTTAAACTAATAATAAGAAAACAATGCGCAGTGGTCTGCAGAGTAAACCTGCGGACCTGGCTATAGTTACGTCTGCAAGATATACAAGACATAACAGCATACATATACTTTTTACATACTGTTCGCATTTTTTTGTCTTCTCGCCATCAACAGCGGGGGCCTAGATAACGCCCAGTAATGCCCTCCCACTTTGGTTCCTTGCACTAAATTGGTATTGCGTTGACCTACACCCACTTTGGCTCCACTTAAAACTGCTATGAATGCGGGTTGTTTCCCTAGAAAGCACCAAGGTTCTCAGTTCCCAGAACGGAACCAGAGCCAGAACCCTGCTATGAATGCGGGTTGTTTCCCCAGAAAGCACCAAGGTTCTCAGTCCCCAGAACGGAACCAGAGCCAGAACCCTGAGTGAACCTCGATCCTGTTTACAGCGATTTCTTACTTGGCTCCCATGGGAATGACTCCTTTGGACCCGACTCCCACGGGAATGTGATTGAAAAGCGACTGTGCCAGCTGCTCCTTAACGGGCTGCACGTCGCGCTCGTCCAGGTTTGTCCTCAAGAGACGTACGCCACAGTTTATGTCGAAGCCGACGCCACCTGCAGGCCACGGGGATATCACATTAGAGTACGAAAACTTAGACAAACAACTCCATTCTGATCCAGATATCTAGAGGCCTAACATCCCACCCTGACAAACCTGGAGACACGACAGCGTCAGGGTCATTCATGTCAAAGGCCGCCATGTTTCCGATTGCAAAACCGTACCCTGAGTGGACGTCTGGAAGGCCAATGGATTTCTGTGGAACAATTCCAAATCCTCGTAAAGTTAATAAAACATTTTACACCGTTGTTTTTTTGAGAACTTCAGTAGAATCGTCGGTTCCACGTACGTGTATGATACCAGGCAGCGCCGCCACGTTCCCTATCTGCTTCATGGCTGGAAGAAAACCACCAATACCTGGAGGAGAAGATCGAGGGGATCAGATAAGTGGAGATGGACAGATGGAGAAGGTTCTGACGAGGTGATGAGCGCGCTTACCTCCACCTCGACAGGCGTTACGAAGCTCCTCAAACATCAGTTTCTCCAGAGAATCGTTGACGTAGAAATTTCCTTCAACCTGAGACAGGAGGGGTTTTTAGTACTCACATTATTACAGTATTATTTCAAGGGATGTCCGATAATATCGGTCACTGATATTAAGCATAATTGTGTAATATCGGTAAGATCGTTAATTGTTTACCCTACACCATGGCTGTGAATGTGAGTATGAATGGTCTGTATATGTGAAAGGGATTAAACAGTAAATGATAAAAAAATGTCATTGATGTATAACAGCTATGTTAAAAAATAATTAAATATATATATATGGAGAAAATGGCTACTAAAAAACGACTGAAAACAACAAAGAAGATATTGTAGGTGGACACCCGTTTGTGTCAACATTTTTTTTAACCGATAATTAATTACGAGTATACACGATCCAAGGCCGACTGACGCAGGAAAAAGTATGCACTGTTTTCATCCAAAAACGGAGATAACACGGTTGTAAGGTAATAAAAACATTGTCCTGAATAAAAACGAGAATCTACAGATTCTAATTTCTGAAACGACGACATAAAGCCTTCAGCTCGTCTCATGGGTTTGTGCTGACAGTTGGTGATTTGCTTCAGGTTCAAGTTTTGACGTCTTGGTTTTGCCCCTGTTTTTATTGACATAAATGGATCCATACACATCCTTAGATGCTACTGTCAAATTTCCATTTGGGTGGTACTCTCGAATTTCCAAAAATAACTTTTCATGGCTGAAGTCCAAAGCCAACGTGTTCTCTGGCTGTGTAGAAGTTGCACAGTGTCGGTGTATATGCTAACCGGCTAGCCACGTTAAGTCTGACACATTCTCACCTGCATGTTGGGAACAAAGCCTTTTTTGATTCTCCAGCAGTTGCTGGAGATCTTCTCCAAATATTGCAGCTCATCGTTGTAATTTCGGCTCATTTTGTGACGAGGAACAGTTCACTTTCACAGTTTCACGCTGCGATTTCCACCGTGGACCTGACTGAAGCAAAGTACCACTGGGCTGATCGCTACGGAGGCCAGCGAGCTACTTAACTGATGAAGCGCGATTAAGAATTGGGTATGACGCATTACTATTTGAAAAACAAGAAAAATATATATTTTCTCTTAATTTAATTTTTGTAGACAACAATAGTCGATACACAATAAAATGATTTAATTTAATGTTCCATTCAAATGAAAAGAAAAGTTGCACAAATCCACAACTGCCGGCGGCTTTTGTTTTGAAAAAACACCAGAAAGTGCTGAATAAATGCTTCCGGACGGAAGAGCATTTGTGTTTACATCTCATTTCAACACAAAAAAGTCACAACACTGTGGATGTCATCGCTTTAATTAATCGCGTAAGAGTTTTTTTCGTTTCTTTTTAGCTGTAGTGACGGCATGTGCTGAACGCAGGTTAGTGAACCACTTGTTAGCTTAGCGTACGTTACTGTCAGAACAGTGCAGAAACGAAAACGAAACGCTACGTTTGCATTTCGTTGTAAACATGGATATTCGTGTTTAGTCTGTTTTAACGACTACTTGCCTTTATGTAAGTGACACTGGAATTTTGTTGTGGGTTCGTTGTTTTTGACGTTTTGGTTGTTTTTTGTGTTTGTTTTGTTTTCACAAAAACGTTTTATTGACTTCAATTCAACCCTCGTTTACTCAGTGACTCATCATTGCTAATGAGTTTTTATTGAATACAAGGTGTAACATAAGTAAGGCGTGAAACTTTTCATTTACAGTCAAATGAGCGGGTTAACTCCTCACGGGCGTGTAATATATAAAGTATAAATGTAGCTATCAAATGTATTTAGCTCCTGATAAACTGCAAAAGTCTTTGCGTCTTATTTTAACCAAACCCTGTTGGTAATTAACCACAAAGAATTCAGGCAAGTGTGTTTTATGCTCATTTACTGTGTCTTAATGTTGACACTCCCAACAACAATTAGACAAGAAGAATTTAAACAAGATGAGACAGCTCAAGTCCAGTCTTGGGGATTGGTGCTGGAGTTCTGGACTGGAATACTCAAACACTGGACTCAGTACAATCAGAAAGTCAGTCTTTGCTTTAACTGTTTTTTCCCTAGAATGAAGCTCAGGATCCGGATCAGAAAACAGACGTGCAGAGTGGAGTTATCTAGTGAAGAACCCACTCTGGGGGAACTCACCGATCACATCAGGAACAACATCCTGTCTCTCTCAGGACTCAGGTGAGACATTTTCCTACAAGAAGGTGTCGGCTGTGATGTTTGTCTGACAACAGATATTTATTTTGTGTTTTTTTTTTGTTGTGGTTCCTGTTCATCAGTGAAGGCACGGACTTCGGTTTGTCTCTGAACGGCTCGGAGAGCCTGACAGACACTGGACAGACGCTGTCGTCCTACGGTATTGTCTCTGGAGATTTGATCTGCGTCGTTCTGCCTGAGTCTGCTGCCGTTGCCACACTTACTGCCCCATCAGCTCCTGCCCCCTCCGCCTCAAACCCCCCCACCATGAACAGCTGCTGCAGTGAGAGCCAGGTTGGTGACCAGTCTGTAACATTTATTCATCACACATACACACACTGACAGTCAATAAAGTCTCTGCAGTCAGAGTCACCGACTGTTAGAAGGAAATTCTCCCTACGATTTTACCAAAAATGAAACCGTTGAAACCTTCCTACAATACACTAAAACGCCACTGGAGGGCGACATTGCTAATTGCAAAACAAACTTTTTTTGAAGACTTTTCTTTCTCATCCATCTTCAGCAGGCCTCCACCAGCGGCAGCAGCAGCAGCTGTACTGCGGCACAGACAGAATCGATGGATGTTACTCCGACACCAGAGGGCGTCGCTGACTCCCAACTTCCAGTCTCCAGCTGGGAGCCAATGCTGTGCAGCGAGGCAGAGGACGGAGTGGCTCCTCTGTCTCTGGAGCTGCTTTACATCTCCGCCCAGGTTACAAGTCCCAGTGACGCCATCATGGTGGCAGGTCACCTGCTGATGACGGAAACTGGGTTCATTCCTCAGGTGAGACGATCACAGAAACTGACCACATGAGGCAGTAGAGTAGAGGACTGATGCTCATGTTTTCACAAGATTTCAGTGGAACATAAGAAGGTTGTTGTGTAGGTTCATTCTTTTCCTCCATCCGTCAGGTGGATGAGCTGAAGCAGGGCCAGATGCCAGATGGGTGGAGGTCAGCAGGTGGAGTCTGCAAACTTCACTACACCCATCCTCTGTGTGAAAACAGCGTGGCCACTTTGACAGGGGTGACGATGGGTCCCATCCTCATCATCCACGGTCAGTTCATGGAAGTGTTTGGCTAAATCAAAGAATCTTCACACATCGCAGCAGCTTCTCATCTCACTATCCGTCTCATGTCACTCCAATCGGCTTTTCCTTCCGACCTGCAGCCACTTTAAAGATGACCGACTCTGTCAACGCCGCTTTCAAACTTCAGCTGAGTCCCTGCAGCTACGTGACAAACGAGTGGGCAGGTAGAACTCTGCTCTAATTGAAGTTACAGCTGTTACAGCTCCTGCACTCGCGTCACCGTTTCTACATTTTGTTATTTGTTGTTGGTCAGGACAAAGTGCAGCCACGGCCTTCAAAGATCTGAGGAAACTGTCTCGAGTCTTCAAAGACCAGCTGGCGTACCCGCTGATCGCTGCTGCCAGACAAGGTACACACTTCAAAACTGCTTTTACACAGAGAGTCCTGAAAGTGCTTAACATGCTACACTGTAAACCAGCGTTTTCCCAAACACTTTTTCTGGGGACCCAAGTCACAAACTGTCGTGGAAATGTGATGCGAGACGACCCAAAAAATAATCTCTTGCGACCCAACTGAGGGTCACGACCCAGTCTTTAGGAAACAACGCTGTAAACCATAGAATTGTTTTTAATGGTCCACTAGAAGTGTATGGTGGTGTGTTCATGTATCGTCACACTGCCCTGTGCCTGCATTTGGATGTTAGGGTCAAAGGTCAGCACACATTGAAAAACAACCTTCAACTAATAAAATAAAACCTCAGTAGCAACTGTGTGTTTGACTTCATCATTACTGTTGCTACGGTTACTAGTGGACTGGTGTCATGTGGTGTCATGTCCACAGCGATGGCGCTGCCCGTGGCATTCGGCCTGGCTGCCCTTCCTCTGGAGCTCCTCCTGAGAATTGTCCGCCTGCTGGACGTTCGCTCCGTGGTCCGTCTCTCAGCCGCGTCCCAACAGTTCAGAGCCGCCACTGCCGACTGGACGCTGTGGAGACACCTCTGTCGCAGAGACTTCCCAGGTGAGGCCCATGGACATGCCACAACAGACGATGACGTCATATTTGTGAAATAATCAACTTGACGTGTTTGCAGGTTTGAATCCAGTTCCCAGACCATCTTCAGACACAGACTGGAAAGAGGTGAGATGACCCCACACTTGAAGTGGTTCAATCACAGCTGATTACACTGACCAAACTTTGTTTCCAGATCTATAAGACCTTGTACAAACGCCGAGCTCAGGAATCCTCTGTCCTTCGCCCCGGTTACCTCCCCATGCCTTATGGCTTCGAGCCGCCGGGCTTCCTGTACGACATTTTTGTCCCTCCTTGTCCTCCGCTGG